ATCTTTCTTTGTACTGTATTATTACTCAGTGGAATTTTCTTTTAATAATGTGGGAAAAGCTGGTGTGTGCAACATGGTGCGTATTACCTCAATTACAGCTGGTAATATAAGTTCTTCGCCAACAATGTGCTGTTTTTTAGACTTTGCAATCAATAAAGAAATGTTATAAGAAGTGCACAGTCCAGCGTCATCTCGTTTTGATGTTGTCCCTATGAGTTGTTGCAGGGATGGTGTTTCCTAATCATTTTCTTTGACTTCGTGTTTGTTTTGTGAAAAAACGTTAAATCCTTATTTTTTTGTCACTCTGGATTTTATTAAATGTCTCTTAAGCTTAGAAGGTTTCATTGAATCATTTGACGTATTTTTATTACGAAGTAGACACATAGGTCAAGTACTATTTCCTGTTAAAGAAATAAAGAGATATTCAATACTAATACGGCTTACATTTTCTGTTAAAAGGGACAAAAAAGAATATGATAATTTGTATATTAAATATTATACTTGTATTAAATATTATACTTTATTATATTGTATACCACTGTTAATAATTACTAACTTTTTCAATGGAATGCTGCAGTAAAGCTCTCTTGAATTAATTATTTGACGAGAAGGATAAAATTTCAGGTAAGTTTTGAATAAAGTATAATTTTTTTAATTAACTTCTTGCAAAAAAAAATTCTTTAATTACAAAAAAAATTGCAATCTCTTACTAAGTTTTTAATTAAAAAAAAGTAATTCCTTAATTTACGATAAGGGAATAATTTACGTTGATTACTATTGAAAAATGTGATACATAATTTTTTCAAAAGAGATTCAATTCACTCAAATACACTTACGTTACAAAAGTACTCTATCTGCGCATCAATACAAAAAATGCAACTATACCAAAACTTTCAATTAACAATGCATAACTTGTTTTAGTCTAAGACTGGCAAAATTTGATTACATACTTCGTATCTGCATAACATTGAACTAAATTGTTGATTTGCTGTCCGACTTTTTTATAGTTTATGTTTATATTGTAGACAAGTTAGTGCATGTAACTGCGTTTATTGTATTGCTGTATAAACCTGTTTTCGACCGTCAGATTCACATCATGCTATGCTCGTTATTAATTTAAGTAGAAGGCGCCATCTAGAACTGGTAAATCATAGGCGTGTCTAGAACTGGAAATCAATATAAATATGCAAAATAATGAGTACAAGTCGCATTTACATGAACTTGATTTGATCCTTACTAACTTCTGGATACTTCTAATAAATTCAAAAGGGTAGACCTCTCTCTGGCATAAATTCAAAAAGGTGGACCTCTCTTTGGTGTAAATTCAAAAATTTAACGATACCTCTCTCTGGTCTGGTCTCTTTGGTTCAAAAAGTTAGCTGTACTTCTTATACCTCTCTCTGGTATAAATTCAAAAATTTAGATCTCTCTCTGGTATAAATTAGAAGAAGTAGACCTACTTTGGTACAAATTCAAAAAGGTAGACCCCTCTCTGGCATAAATTCAGAAAGGTAGACCCCTCTCTGGCATAAATTTAAAAAGGTAGACCCCTCTCTGGCATAAATTCAAAGAGGTAGTATTAGTATTGTGTCAGTGGATTTTCTTTTATCTTCCTTTGTGAGGGATTATTTCAGTTTCTTTTATTGTTATTTCAGTTTAATATTGTTGCTGTATTGTAGTTAGCGTGTTGGTGGAAATTGAAAGCTTAAATTTATTGAAGTAAATTGAACAATAACAGTTTTAGTAATAAGATCAAAACAAATTATACACTCCACTGTTACTGCAAGTGACAAATTTAAAGGAAATAAGTTTTGCCAATTTTCATTCACAAATGTTACATAGCGAGCAATACTTTAAAAAAATACAATATTTTACGCATCTATCTATATTTATATTTTACTCAGGTTGTAAAAATCTTTATTTTATTTAATGCTACTTATTTCAATTTATATTATAATAAAAATGGATCACAGTTTTATTATATCATATTTAACCTTGAACGGACCCCCTGACGTTGTTCGGGGATCCCTAAATCAACCCTGAATGATATCGGGTACTCCAGGGGGTCCGTAGGGACCACTTTGGGAACCACTTATCTAATTGCTTTCCAAAGACTAATCGAACCAAACTATCATTTAATTTGATCAAAAATTCTCAAACATTTCTTCTTCATTTTACAAAATACAAATCCTTTTTGTTTGTTTTTTAACACTTTCTATTTTCAATATATATAAAAATATTACAATATTTCTTTCTTCATGTTTCATTTTTGACTAAGCAATTACTATTTCCGATTTTCCTATTAATGCTTCGAAACGCTGATGTGTGCCTCTTATTTTGGTCAAAATTATATA